TGTACTTATAAATCTGTTCACTTTTTTTTGCAAACTATTTAAATGCAACTGATAAAACCTTATGAATCAAATGTCCTTAAACATTTACACACTTGGTCAGATTATCCTGTTTCACTACAACTTTCAGTCTAATATAACTTCTCTTGAATGCTTCAAACACCTTAACAACACAAAAGTTTTTACTGTACCCATACTTAAGCTTATTTGTAAAAATCAGAACTAAGGATTTGACCAATTTCTTTGTTAGCTATATAAAACATCTTTTTGTACTTTTCCAGGATTCTAATATCAGACCCAAAAGAGAAAGATTATCTCCTTCCCAGGTGCATGGAAATCACAGCCTCTGGATCAATGATTGATGGATTCTTAGCGGGAACACTGAATCCTTCAAGGTGAATCAGATGGCAGCAGGCATTTGCTGGTTGGGATGCCCTCTCTCAGATCAGGTTCAACTGCTAAGGCAACAGGACTTAGCAAGTTCTTGCAATCTTCACTTCTGTGTCTGTTGAATTTTGGGTACATGATGTTTGGCCTCAGTTTACAATTAACTTCATTATGCCTCATTAGCATTCATTATAATTAGCAGGGCCATAGAGCAGTTTAATCTATCAGCCATTCTCCTAGGACATCTGGCCAGTCCATTAACTTGCCACACCAATTATGAACGCTCTTTCTACTTGGTTATTTAGGAGACCACTGGTCTTGACCTGCCCTCCCTGGTTTGGGTACAGTTCCTACTCTTTCTGGAAATATTTGACTCACAGTAAACTTATCTGCTCTTCTCAACTTATATAGATATGCCATTTCATAAACAGATATACCGAACTTCAAGTAAGGAACAGATTCCCATATTATGCCGAACTTACCTACTTACTAAAACACTGCTTTTAGCCTTTCTTTGAGTTATAACTAGCTTTGTCATTACACATATTAACTTTTCCTTTTTTTAAAAAAAAATCTATTTATTTATTTATTTTTGGCTGCGTTGGGTCTTTGTTGCTGCGCTCAGGCTTTCTCTGGTTGCAGTGCGAGGGGCTACTCTTCTTTGTGGTGTGCAGGCTTCTCATTGCGGTGGCTTCTCTTGTTATGGAGCACCGGCTCTAGGCTCATGGGCTTCAGTAGTTGTGGCACACGGGCTCAGTAGTTGTGGCTCGCAGGCTCTAGAGCACAGGCTCAGTAGTTGTGGTGCATGGGCTTAGTTACTCCGCAGCACGTGGGATCTTCCCGGACCAGGGCTCCAATCCATGTCCCCTGCACTGGCAGGCGGATTCTTAACCACTGCGTCACCAGGGAAGTCCCTAACTTTTCCTTTTTGATCGTTAAGGACCCATGGCTTTTCACAGATTCAACTTGTTCTGGTAAATCGACAACTGTAGACCTAGCTATTCTTTGTTATATCCAAGTTGTCACAACCTGACCAGAGGGACCCCGTTTCCTTTTCAGTCAACTCCTTTGTCCTTTCAGCAATAGCCCAGCACTTTTGACAGCAGCCTGGTTTTCTGGCAAGAGCAAGTTGTCTCAGGCCATTCTGACTTTCCCCTGCTTCCAGACGTGGACTCAGGTCCTTTGAAGGAGCCCTGGGTACCGCTAACGAAAAATGCTATTGAGATCAACGTGTGTGTGCTGAGGGTACAATATGTGCATGCTGGTGATGAGATGGCACACCGTGGCCACTGAAAAGGAAGAACTAGAGAGGATGTTGCTTCCTAAGGTCAAATTATGTTCTCAAATTGCTCAAATCATTCTACTATTACCACCTCTTCTTTTATACAGTTTTAAATATATTTTTCTCTATAACGTGCCTATTCAGATTTTAACACTTCACTCAGACTGTGATTATCCCAACCTCTGATTTTATCAACTTCTATGTGCCTCAAGGCCCATTATTTTGAGGTCACTTGTATGTATACTTTATCAGAACCTGCTTTCAAGAAAACATCTTATAAAATTATGTATCTAAATTTTTCTGTTTTCCTGTAAATGCTCATTTGTCATATACCTATTAGACATAACTATAAAATTATTGACACAAATATATTCAATTATGTTAATTTATTATTATATAACCAAATGCCATTTCATGGTGATACATTTCTGGCACAAATTCACTCCTGTGCTAGCCTTGAGAGGCTGATGGACACCAGAGGGCCAGCTGGGAAGCTCATCCCCTCTAGGAACTGTCGTTGAAGCAGGATGCCATTAATAATACAATTTTGAGGAATTTATATTTAATTCCACTAATGCGCCTTCATTAATTGAAGGCATTTGGGGATAGTACGCAAATGGAAAGAATAAAGGTTTTTGCTGACTGAAAATGTGCAAATCACTCAGCAAAGCCAGGGGTGGACTCTTCTCTCCATTTGCAGATCTGGTCCCATAGAAAGGGACTGGCTCTTCGTCATTTCTGTATGCCCGTGGCCAGGCCAGTTTTCAGTTATGATAGGTGCTCAGTGATTCTTCTTTGAATAGAGAAGGAAGAAAATGCCATGAGAATCACAGAGAAAATCATAACTGGCCAAATCATTAACCCGGGACTGTCATTCATAATCCACAATTTCTTTTTTTTTTAAATTTGACTTTATTAATATTCTGAGGCAATTGGGTTTTGAGACAAACTTTAAATTGCTTCATTTCCAAAATTCATTTTCGTCACAACATCCGGGAGCAATCCGTCTGCTAATCAATAACTAACATTTAAATGGCTGTTGCCAGAAAGGCAACCCAGCACAAAACCAGTACTGTCAGCAACTCAGAACAACTCTAATTTCCTGACAGAAATCGATTCACAGCAACATAGTGGTTACTGCAAATATTTATCGTTCTGAAAAGGAAAGTTCATCAGTGCAGCTTCTTGAGCAGTTCATTCACAAATGAAGGACTGTGATGGGCTCCACCTCGACATCTGTCTTGAGATGTAGGATGTGGTGGGTGGCAATAACCCTATGATTGCCTTGAAATTGGCCCTTTTGGGGGTGTAGTGGGTACTGTGGGCCCATCCCAGATGGCCATGTGGGGAGAATATTGGGCATGGAAAGTCCAGTTCCACAGCTGGGATTTCACTGGCTTGCTGTGTGATCTCAGAAAGCCAACTAACCTCTCTGAACATTCCTTTTCTCTTCAAGGAAAGCACGATAGTCAGATCTGTCCAATTTAGCCCTCCAGTTGTTGTGAGGATGAAACAAAGGGGTTGGGGGAGGAGATATCCCTGAACATATATTTAATGGACTGGGTAAATTTGGGGTCTTATAATGACTCTATTTCCCAAGAACAGGATTAAGGAGCAAGGCAGAATATTCATGAGAAATCAGAGCGTCATCCTAAAGCTCAGTGTTCATGGGAGTTTTACTAACTGGAAAACAAGTGACAATGGGAACAAATGTGCTCACTGAGTGACACTTACTTCTGTGCAGTAGGAGCTGGGAAACAAGGATAAAAAAATCTGTGCTCATGAAGTTCATGGTCTAGCTCATGGGGAGGGGGCTGAGCAAACAGATAAACGCAACGGGTGTGGGGAGGATAAAGAGAGGTGTGAGTGGGAGTGTGGGAACACACAGGCATGAACTGAAGGACAATTTCTCAAGTCGAGCAGCAATAGAGGGAAGGCTATTCCAGGAAAAGACAACAGGCGCAGATTAGCACTTCAAGAGAACCATAAAAATAAATCAGTATTTCCCAAATTTCTCACTTGAAGTTCACTTTTACATTTTTGGGGGCCTTGTCTCTGTACCACATGCACCATTTTTTCCTTTTTTTAATTTATTGGCCATGCTACGTGACATGTGGGATCTTAGCTCCCTGACCAGGGAGCGAACCCACACCCCCTGCATTGGAAGCATGAAGTCTTTTTTTTTTTTTAATGCTTTTTTAAATAGTATTTTAAAATTTTTTAGTTTATTTATTTTTGGTTGCATTGGGGCTTCGTTATTGCGCGTGGGCTTTCTCTAGTTGCATCAAGTGGAGGCTACTCTTCGTTGCAGTGTGTGGGCTTCTCATTGCGGTAGCTTCTCTTGTTGTGGAGCACGGGCTCTAGGCACATGGGCTTCAGTAGTTGCGGCACGCGGGCTCAGTAGTTGTGGCTCACGGGCTTAGTTGCTCCGCGGCATGTGGGATCTTCCCGCTACAGGGCTTGAACCCGTGTCCCCTGCATTGGCAGGCGGATTCTTAACCACTGCGCACCAAGGAAGTCCTGGGAGCACTGAGTCTTAACCACTGGAACACCAGGGAGGTCCTGCACCATTTTAGGTTGACCAATTTTTAAAAATATAAGTTGGGTTTAAAAAGAAAACTTTATACATTACTACCATAAATGAAAAACATTGTTAAAACAAAAGCTAACCTTAAAAATACAGGCAACAGGAACTCAATTTATTCAATAAATTACTGTCAGGCTGTTCTAGTTTCTGGGACCAAAGGGACGACAAAGACGAGATGGAGATAAATTAATGTCAGGCAGTAATTGATACTGGGGAGAAAACAGAAAGTGACTTAGGAGGGCCACTTTGGGTGGGGTGGTCTGGGAGGGCCCACCAGGAGATATCGTTTGAGCAGAGATCTGAAGGAAGTGGTAGACCAAAAGGAAGACGAGGTCATTACATCTCAACCAGATACTGTTGCCTGCAGAAGGAAGACTGTGAACCAGATTCAGGGAGACGAGCAAGGGTTAGGGAGACGTGCTCACACCCAACTGAGACTTTCTGCAAGACAGGAGGACAGAGAGAAGGCAGTCATTCTGTCGAGGCGGTTACAGTTGTTTAATTCAGTCTGGAAGACTAAATCAAGTCGGGTACTCCTAGCGGAAAGCATCCCACTTCAGGAAACACTGCAACCTTTGAGAGGGAGGCAGGCTGTTACCGCCCCGATTGACAAATTAGTAAACTAAAGCCAAGAAAAGTTAAATCGCTGGGAACTGGGACCGGAGCGCTGCCTTAACCTCGTACAGCCCGGTGGAGTGCAGGGATTGGGTCCAAGGATGGGCCGGCAGGTAGATGCTGGCTCTGGCAGCACTGTGAAGACTCCCAATCCTCCAATCTGCGTTCCACGCCTCTCGTTAGCCCCTTCCCAGGAGAGGCTCAAAACCCGGAGCTACGGAATCTGCGGAGCGGGACACAAAGCACGACCGCCGGAGCCGAGCATGCGCAGTAGCCCAGCCCAGCCCGGCCGCTCTCGCCGCTGGGGGAGGGTCATCCAAGCCTGACGTCCGCGACGCCGTCGTCAGCGCCCCGGGAAGAGGAGGGCGAAGACTCCATCCGCCATGTTGGATGCCGCAGATTCGCCATAACCGCGCCGGCTCTTTTCTTAAAAAAATAAAAATAAAAAGCGAAGCATCAGCGGAGCGCCCCGCCTTCTCGGTCGGCGCGGGAGGGGGCCCAGAAGAGCCCGAGGCTTTTTTTTCCTCCGCGGTGGGGGCGTTGCCATGGAGACGCGGGCGGCAGGTGAGCCGGGCTGGGGGTTGGGGTGGGGATGAGGTGGGGGTGGGGCGCGGCGCGGCGCGCGGGAAGCCGTTTCGAGCTTGGAGTCGGGTAGAAGCGCGCAGGCCGCTGGGCGGCGGAGGGATCTGCGGCCCAGGGCGGAGAGCGGACGTAGCGGCGTCCTTCGACGGCACGTTAAATCGCTGGCAGTATCCCGCCGCCTTGGGTTTTTATTAAAAAAAAAGTAACGAGGGTGCTAGCGGAAGAACGAGCAAGGGAAAGCAGTGCGCTCGCGCGTGCGGGGCCGTTTCCGGGGCAACGGGAGGGGTCGGGGCGCGCGCTAGCGACCCAGCGCAGGCGTCCTGGCGGGCGGGAGGTTCGAATCCGATGCTGCCGACTCGGTGGCCGCGTGGGCCTTGGCTCGGCCTCCTTGTTGCCTGGCCTCAGTTTCCTCCTCTGTGAAATGGATAGTTCCTTTAGACCCATGTACTTGGCCAGGATGTTTTGAAGGGAAAGGGTTCCACCGAGCTGCTGAAGGAAAGTTTCTTTGTGTGCGGTAGAGGGAGCCATAAACACCAGGGATTAGCTGGTTACTGCTGGTAACCCAGTAATACCCTGTGATAAATTGTGATTTATTTATTTATAAATTTATTTATTTTGGCTGCGTTGGGTTTTCATTGCTGTGCGCGGGCTTTATCTAGTTGCGGTGCGCGGGCTTCTCATTGCGGTGGCTTCTCTTGTTGCGGAGCACAGGCTCTAGGTGCGCGGGCTTCAGTAGTTGTGGCTCGCAGGCTCCAGAGCGCAGGTCTAGTAGTTGTGGCGTACGGGCTTAGTTGCTCCGGGGCATGTGGGATCTTCCCGGACCAGGGCTCGAACCCTTGTTCCCTGCATTGGCAGGCAGATTTTTAACCACTGCGCCACCAGGGAAGCCCGATAAATTGTAATTTAGCCTCTACCTGCCGCCTAGCTCTGTGGGCCCTTGTTCCTCACCCTTTAAAGTTAAGCTGACATGGCACCTCCTCCAGGCAGCCGCCCCTGGCTTCTTGGGCGACGCGGCCTTTCTGCTGGCTGGATGCAGGACCGCGATGGATCTTCCACTGAACACCTGGTCAAAGCCCTTAAACGTTGACCTTGGGGCTCCTTCCTGTGTAATTAACAGTAAGCATCCACACTGGGGCACTGACCTCATGCCTTTTGCTACTCAGTTTTCCCGACACCTCTAATTTGTGTGTCATTTACTGACGAGGAACAAAAGTTCAGAGAGGTCAACTTCATACAGTTTAGAAATGGCAGAGCTGAGGCTTTAAAAATCAACTTCCTCTGACTTGGGATGAAATCCAAACTTCTGGGTGACTGCCTGGCTTGTACTTCCAACCCCTGGATCGGTGCCTGGCCCCGGGTGGGTGCCCAGGGTGCCTTTATTGAATGGAAGAATGAATGAACTATCTGACCGCCTCCTGCCCCCTTCCAGCCTGGTTCCCTGGCAGAGCCCAGTGACTTCGGAAATATAAGCTTAGTGTCACAGGGCTTACCCTGCACAACTGCCCCTCCAGCTTCATCTTCTGAGCCTACGGGTTCATCCCAAAGTAGCTATACTGAGTGTCCTGCATGCTGAGGGCTGCAGAAGACACCTAGAGCTTATGTTTGCTGCATGTTCGGTGCCCAAACCCCGGGGGCACTTTTCTTGGCTTCTTCAGTTCAAGCCAACAGCTTTGCATGACACTCCTCTCGACATGCCAGGTAGGGATGGTAAAGAGTCCTTTGACCCTTGGTCCTGCCCTCATCCCATTGTTGTGTCAGATTCCTGCGTGTGTGTGTGTGTGTGTGTGTGTGTAGTGATGAAGCAGACCCAGAGCCAGAGTGGTGGGTCAGGAGCCCTGAACTATGCCAGGCATTCTTTCTGACAGTGATGATGTTACGAGTCCAAGCTCGTACTGTTTGCCGCACGACAGGTCAGTAAATCGAGAGATGAGTCTTTTGGGCAAGGAGTAGTGACTTTATTTGGAAAGCCAGCAGACCGAGAAGATGGTGGACTAGTGTCCCAAAGAACCATCTTACCTGAGTTAGAAGTCAGCCTTCTTTTATACCAAAAGTGGAGGGCGTTTGGTTGGTTGCTGCGAAGTTCTTGGTGCCGGAATCTGTTGTTCTCACAGCTGTGCACCTAGGCCTGGTCACAGTGTTCCTATAAACCTCCAAGACAAATGGTATCCTGTGTGTCGCGACTTTTTATCTTTGTGTGAATGGAGAAGTGTTGTACTTTTAAAAGTCAGAGCCTTGAGAATGGGCTAACCTGTATATTTTAGGCAACATTCTTAACTTGTAGCAAAAGCAATAGAATACAAAGTTTAAAGGAAAAAAAAACAGATCCAGTATGGAGTCAGATTTGTTCTTCCCTATTACACTCTCTTCTCTGTTTGGTGCCTTCCCTCTCCCAAGACATTGGGCTACTGCTGATGATACACGACATGCACTGCCCACCTCTCCTCTTCTGGAGTTTACTTAACAGCTTTTTTTTTTTTTTTTTTAAAACCTGGCACTTGTAGTTTCCTTCAATTTTCAGCTGTGTAATCAGTGACCAAAAATCATGTTTTAAAATACGTTGCTGTTAACTTGCGGTCAGCTAATTCCTGAAAAGAGTCTCCTGTTTTGCTTGGTTGTTGGGTTAACGTAGGAGAGCCGGTAAAATAAATGATAAGATGGAGTCGCATTTGGTCTCTAAGGTCCAGCTTTTCGATGGTAAGCCAGCCACGATGGTCATTGCCGTGAACTGGAGATCTGTTACCGCACTGCTCCCTTCTCAGCCGGTTTCCCATTTACCTTGTAAAATGGTTTCTGTGTCTTTTCTCCCCTTACTTTACCATTTACATAACAACTTTTCAATGGCAGCTATCCTTCAGTAGAATTAAGTTTCTGCCTAGGGCAAGGGCTGTCCAGAATTGGGTATATTAAAAAGACTCTCCTTAATTGCATTTCCTTTGTAGATAGTTTCATGCATGCTGCTTCTGAAAACCTCCCCAGCAAGAGGGGCTGATTTAATTATGTAGAAGGGATTTAGCCTAGAGTTGTTTTCTCTTTGTTAGCAGCTGTTTATTCTGTTAAACTTTCACTGTCTTTGCCATTTCTCAAGGGCAGGTGTCAACTTTAAGGGCTGGAACAGTCTGGAGGGTGGAATGAACACGTGCTCTGGGGCCAGAGATCTGCTACTCACCAGATTCCTGACCTGGGGGAGTCACATAACTCGTGGAACCCACCGCTTCATCTGCAGGAGACATGGTCCTGCCCACGACCTGGGTTATGGTGCACTGTAGATGCTGTGGGCACTGCTGTTTATCCCTTTCACCGAGACCCCGGTCTCTCTGCTATGCAGCTTAGTGCATTGAGATCTACTTGCTCCTTAAAAACAGTTGTGGTTGGAAAATGTGATAGACTTTGATTGGTTAAAATTTTTTTATTATTTATTTATTTATTGCTGCACTGTGCAGCTTGCAGGATCTTGGTTCCCTGACAAGGGACTGAACCTGGGCCCCTGTAGTGAAAGCGCTGAGTCCTAACCACTGGACTGCCAGGGAATTCCCATTGATTGATTTCTTTTTAAAAGAAAGAAAAGTAATCCGGGGGTGAAACAAATTGTCATATTAAACAGCTATTGTAGGTTTGAAGTTACGTCTTTTTTTTCAAGGAACATAAAATATATCATTATATGCTTATAAACAGATTATGCTTGGCATGTTAATAGAAAAAGGATTTTAACTTGGGTAACAGATTTTTCTTCTTTTAAATCATGTAACAAATGGAGCCGCAAATTTTTGAACTCTGGAATCTGGCACGTTTGTGCCCCAGTTGGGTCTGGGCCGAGGCAGGATGGGAAGGGTGGGGACCGGACTTAAGAGGCAGCTGCTGGCCTTGCTGGGGTAGGGGGAGGAGGGGACCAAATCAGCCACCGCGTCTGGAGCCAAGGAGCCGGGGGGCTTTGGGAGCCGCATTCTGGAAAAGGAGGGCCTTGGAGGTCCTGGCAACCTGGAGGACCTTGTAAGTCAGCCCCAAGCCTCCTTGTAGGGCCCTAGCTGGCTTCCTTCTTTCTGTTAGATATTTTTTTTCCCATCTCTGCCAGCAGGCCTCTTCTTCTGGGGCCATGACCACTTCTCTGCCCCTTAGGATTCTCCCTTCCTCCCTCCCTTCCCCCTTCCCATCCTTCCTTCCTTCCTTCTTTCTTCCCTTTTTTTTTTCTTCCAAGCAGATTCCTTGGTTCACCCAAATGTTTGTGCCAAAGTTTGTGCCGGGAAGTGAGAATGCAGTCAGATATGATTCGCTGTTTCCTCCTGAGGATCTCACACAGTCCTAGCAGTGGAACCGATCCTTTAGGAGATAGTGCCAGAGACTATGATGGAAGTAAGCCCTGAGAGTTGAAGGCTTGAGGGGGTGTGATGCACCTAGCCCAGCCACTTAGTTACTGTGATCCTTTGTTGAAAATTACATGGGGGTCCATTTCTGAGCTCTCTGGTCTATTCCATTGATCTATTTGTTTATCCTTCATCAGCACCGCACTGTGAATTACTGTAGCTTTCTAGTAATTTCTGAAGTTATGAGGAATAAATAAGAGGACACTTTTTGGAGGGGCAGAGATGAGGCAGGAGCAAGACCCGGCATCAGGTGCTGTTACGGTGCATCCCAGAGATGATGACACTCACCCCACAGCAGTGGGTGTGGGAGTGGAGGTTTGGGGCAGATTTAGAGAAATGGACCAGAGTAAAAACCCATAGGACTGGTGATCGAGTGGATTTTAGCTTAGAGACCAGCCAGCATTCATCTGTGTTTGGTTTCAGGGAAAGAGCAGTGATGAACCAAACAGGCACAGGGATATGAAACGTTCCAGGCTCCATACACACAGCTGTGGTCCATTATTCTCACATCCCTCCTGCAGTGGTAGAGAGAAGAGCTTTTGAATTCTGCTCCCTGTTTTTATTTCTGAGTTGGTGCAGGGCTTGCCGGGTTACTGGAAGCACCTCAGAGAGACCCTTCCTGGG